TTTTAGTTAGCAAGTAGTACAATAGTAGTTTACGCGACGTTTGCTTGTTTACCAATCTTAGCAAGTGACTGATGACAGTAAAACTCGGGACTTTTGTAATAAAAACTTAGAGTAAGAAGAAAATACTAAAAGGAAACACAGAGACAATCTGTGTATTTGATTGTTGTTTAGTAAGTCTTGACCAAGAAATAAGTATATTAGCTCTCTTGCTTAGAATTGCATAAACTTGTGCAGATGGAGAGACCTTATGTTTTGCCTGGAGTTGTGGTAGAGCATTGCTTTAGCACTGGCCTTCTACACATGCATTGTCATGGGCAGCACATGTATCATCATTCAATTGCACATGCCATTTCTTATTTTTGCAGAATCAAACCATCCGACCACAACTCACTATGAAAGTCTGATACAAATATTTTTATACGTTTTTTTTCAGTTATTGAATTTGAGGGGAGCCTTGGCACAACAGTAATGCATGCTGCTTCCCTGGTATCTAGTAGGTCACTCGTTTGAGACATAGAAATAACTTACATTTGCATAAATGCAAGAGAAACATAGCATACAGTATACACGATCGTTCTCTCCTGCTCTAGTTGTAGAGCACTTGGTATACTGAGTAAGCCCGATTTTCAGATGGATATTGAGTTTGTTTTTTTGAAGAAGATAAAAATGATGATGGCCTAACGGTCTTAATGAAATCATCGGAAATAGGATAACAATTCTAGATAAAGACAAAATCATATGCTTAATGCATGGTCAGCAAACTTACTTAGTGTATGTGTTATTAGATATGGTAATAGATAATTGATAAAATAGTTAAGGTTCGCGTAAGTTACTTGAATATCACGCTATCTAAAAAGGACTTTCTTAATAAAAAAAAAAAATTAGTAGTACAACATTTCTTTTCTCTTTTTCTGTACATGGCCCTGCAAAGTTACTTAGTATATGTACTGTTGAGAGGTAACAAATAACTGATAAAATAGTAGAGGTTCGCGTAAGTTACTCGAACACCAGGCTAATTAAAAGACACTATTTTGTGATCTAAATTTATACGACTGACTATTCCAACATACACAATTAAAGCGCCGACCAAGAGCCAGCAACATAACGACCCAACATCCATACAGAAACCAAAAAGATNATTGGAATTGTGATGTTTTGTGTAGAGATTAGGAGGGCTTTCATATTTTGCTGGTGCAGAGAAGAAGGATGATAGGGTTCTTGTGCCTGATTTGGGCTCTCTAACTAGCATATATGACAGGTGGGTTGATGCTGCTTCAAATTCTTGTTATTTATGTTCTTAGTTGCATGTTGCTGTAATGTTGTTTTGTTCTGTTGTACATGTTTTTTTTTGGGCAACATTTGACGGATTTTATGTTTCAGGGCTCGTGAGTTGTTTTATTATTTGAAAGGAGGGCAAGTTGATTATGGGGAAGAACATAGTAAGGCCTGTGGACATTCCCAATTCGGACGAATTTATGAACAGGGTTAGAATCTCTTTTTCCTCATTGTTTAGCTTTTTGTAATTTCAATGTTTGTAAATTCATGGTACTAATGAACAAGGTTGAAACTTGTCTTCCTTCTCTGTTTAGTTTTTATTGCATTACGATGTTTTTGTGAAATTATGAATGGTTAATTTAGCCTTTCGTACTTTCTTGTAAGCAGGGCATTACCCAGAATGGGATGAAGATCACCCTATTCATTTTGTTGGGCATTCAGCTGGAGCACAGGTTGTTCGAGTTTTGCAACAAATGCTGGCTGACAAGGTGAGTCTGCTTATAATTAATTCATGGATTGCGAGATTTAAAAGAAGTTTGTTGTTAATTTAAAGCTTATTGTGATTGTAGGCATTTAAGGGATTTGAGAACACGTCCGAGAACTGGGTCTTAAGCATCACATCGTTGTCTGGAGCATTCAACGGGACAACAAGAACCTATTTTGATGGAATGCAGTAGGTTTCTGATATCTTATTATCTGTAGTTCATTTATCCCAAAGAGAAAATCTTATTTTCTGTTGTTCAACTATATTTGATCTGTTATTGTGGTATAGACAACTATGTAAGTGCTATCATGGCTGTTCATTATATCAATTGCGCTATTGGCTTAATTTTTAGTAATGATCGAGCTTTAAGTAGATGCTATGTTCAGATGCCACTTTAGGTGCCTTCAATTCATTCAACCATTAATTATCATATTGGTATTCAATAATGATCATATGAAGGTTTTAACTTTGTTGTTTCTCTAAAATCTGCTTTAGAATTGCTGTTATCTGTTTGTAGTTTTTTCTTATAAGTTTTATGTTTACCCAAGATTTCTTATGGTTTGCTGAAATCGTGATCTTTATGTACTGAATCAACTGATTTCATTTACAGACCTGAAGATGGGAAGTCCTTGAGGCCAGTGTCTTTGCTCCAACTTTGTCGCATTGGAGTACTAATTTACGATTGGATTGACATTCCCTGGCTAAAGAACTATTACAACTTTGGGTTTGACCACTTCAACATATCCTGGAGAAAAATTGGAATATGGGGTCTTCTTGATTGCCTTTTAGGAAATGCTGGTCCGTTTGCTTCAGGGGATTGGATACTTCCTGATCTTACCCTCCAGGGGTCGATCAAGTTGAACAGCCACTTGCATACGTTTCCTAATACATACTACTTCAGCTATGCTACCAAGCGTACCGCGAAAGTCATGGGTCTAACAGTCCCTTCTGGCATACTTGGGATACATCCTCTGCTGTTCATCAGAGTCCTGCAAATGAGTCTATGGCGGCATCCTCCCGATGTCCCTCCCCCATATAAGGGATATAGGTGTGTCTTTTGTTTTCTCCTTATTATTTTGATTCAAATATATCGGCAGTTACAATGTAGCAAAGATTCCCAGCAAGGTATCTACTGCAAGTAATAGCCTGTTAGGGCAAGTTTTTAGGAAAAAAATAAATTCTTTTGAGTAGTGGCAGATGCTGAATTTCAGAAGCTAAAAATATTAGCTTTTCCTCAAAAGCACTTTTGGAACCTTGGCCAAGCACAAATAGCTGCTCTAATAATATTGGCAAAATTTCTTTTCAAATTGATTAGCCAAACACAATTTGCTATTTTTCAAAAGTACTTTTGACTAAAAAAACACTTTCTCAAAATAAGCAGATTTCGTAAGCTTGGTCAAACAAACTATAAGTGTTGTTGTTATGCCACTTATTCTCTGTTTTGAGGTTTTTGCTCTTTGTGCAACAGTATTTTGTATTGTCCGGACTAGTGTATGAAACTTGGCTATAGGCTCCATGAAATTGATGCATGCAAAAATTCCTTGGATGCACTAACGCCAGTTTCAAATTAAGTATTTAGAACATCACTTTGAGTGGGTTTCTTATCCTCCCAGTTTTAGTTCCGCCTCAAAGCTTTGTATAGCAATTTCGTAGTAATTGTCTTATGAGGAGTTTAGACTTGCAAATTATTATCTCTGAAAGATTCAAAACCGCCAAACCAACAGATTTTATCCTCTAGTTACTTCTTAAAGCAATTATCATGTATCCAAACGGGGCGGAACTGCTAAATAACAGTTCTTATACAAGCCATACGTAATTTCATCTTTCTGTACATCTAATTCTTGCAGGGATGAGGATTGGTGGGACAATGATGGTGCACTCAACACTATATCTATGACACACCCTCGCTTCCCAGTTGAGCACCCAAGTCAACTGGTTGTTAAAGATTCTGATTGCCACCCTTTGCGACCTGGCATTTGGTAGGCTACCGGTCTTAAGCTTCTGCTATTATATATCTTTTGCCAAGTTGCCATTCTGGTATTTAACTTCTTTAAATTCTATTATTAGTCTAGCAGTTTGTGAGAAAATTGAACTCTTTTCATAATTGACACAGTTTTTACTGACACTTCCATCATACTTATTTTCTCATTCCTATCTGGTTTTGAGGTTTTCATAGAATTGAACTCTTTTCTAAAGAACCACCACCTATTATTGGTCATGGATTCTTAGTTGTAAGTACTAAGAAGTTTCTAAACCAAAGTGTCATCTTCTCTATTTCTTTTGGTTATCATTAGGATTATAGTAATTAACTATTCTGAAGCAAGTCCAATTTACAAACCAGTATTTTCGTATGTCATTGTTTAAGGGTTTGTTATATTCCCTTATTTTGATTGATAGATTTGACTGGACATCCATATCTCTTTGTCCGGTTGAAGTGGATGTGTTAAAATTGTTGACAAGGTGGCTAGAAGTTGCAACATCAAGCCTTTTCTTGTTAGAGGAACTTTAAAGAAAATCTAGCAGAGGTGTGCGATTAAAGAATTGCTCAGATGGTCTTCTTTTTCATCTCCCAAAAAGATGAATCCTCTGTATTTGCTTTCCGCTTCTTGTAATTGGACTTCTGCACCTCTTGTTGCTCTATTATCTCAATTTCTCTTTTATGATTCCCATTTTACTCCCTTAAACATAATATTTTGGAAATTATGGCTTTTATGTTCTTAGTATTTATGCCTATTCACTTTGTGATATATGGAAAATGTTTGACTTTTAAAATTTGCAACTATTGGAAATACTGCATATTTGTCTTGACACATATCGGATACTTGAGATTGCTATAGAGTGAGATTGGAATTCTATGTGTAGTTGTTATTTGAATAAAACGACGGTATTTCAGGGCTGCTTTAGTATTGATATTTCTTTTTCTTTTTCTGGAATCAGGTACTATAAGATTGTTGAAGGTGATCACATTCTTTTCATTGTGAATCGCGAACGAGCTGGAGTTCAATTTGATTTGATCTATGACAGCATATTTGAGCGCTGCAGGAAGCACGTTTTCAGAAAAAATCCGATGATGCCAGACCATATAATTTCATAGTTAACATTATGTTGCCCTCACCGATGCGCTACAAGCTATAAAGAGAATAGAGGTTAAAGAGAAGGAAAACTGCGACGACATCACACACTCTTATGCTTTCTTGTTTTTCTTCAGACAAAAATTTATTTTTCTCTTGAAATGTAAATGTGAATAGATCAGAATCCCATTCTGCTTCTACTGTATGTAATGATTACCACCACTCTAGTGTGTAGGCTTTCAGAGGAAAAATGTGAATTAAGGAGACATGGTACACTGGTCCCTTGTAATATGAAAAACATAAAGATAGACTTTCATAGAATACAGTAGAGGTTTCTGCTTTAACTTTTTGATGATCTGCATTACGTTTTAGAATTTTAGTAAAAACTGATTGTTATGCATTTAAGTTATTATTGTGTTGCTTCTGAAGCTTACTGAACTCAAGATTTGGCCACTACACAGCGAGCTCTCTGTGGAACTGGTATTTGTTATTAGTTGAAGTCTTTCAATCTTCTTTTTTTCCTGAGTAGAAGCATTAAGGGTTGAATGGAGCAATATGGTGTATGGACACTGAGGATTCATATAGTTGATTCCAACTTACTTGGGGTTAAGACGTTATTGTACAAGCAACGCGGGTGAAGGGGATGGACGAAAAGAGCTTTTGAGGTTGGTGGGGAGTACTCTCGTCTGCGTTCTTTTTTGAATAGCGGATTGTTTTTCTCCATCCAGTAATGTAGGTTAATTGATGAAATCTCGTTAAATTGTTGTGCCTCCTTTGATACATTTCTCTTTCGTGGTCTAATTTACTGTCATTCACAGGTGCGTTGTTATCTTCCAGACAGGGAGGTGGTGGCGGGGGGTTATAATAGAGCTGGAGTCATTGGAGCCTGGATTATTTTAGTGCAATGCAAATGAAGTTAGCCAGTTGCTTGTTTCCAATCTTGCAATGCTGATGCATAAAACTCGGGCTTTGTATAAAAAACTTGATAAGAAGAAATACTAAAAGGAAACACAGAGACAATCTGTGTATTTGATGTTGTTTAGTAAGTCTTGCCAAAGAAAATAAGTATATTAGCTCTCTTGCTTAGAATTGCATAAACTTGTGCAGATGGAGAGACCTTATGTTTTGCCTGGAGTTGTGGTAGAGCATTGCTTTAGCACTGGCCTTCTACACATGCAT